TCCTTTCTTATGTCAATGCACTGTTTTATTGTTGTACGTAGTACTTGCAATACTTCTGAAGCAACTTAGAATACATTACACCTGCTGAATACAGTACAGTGAAATCCTGTAAATACAGAGTGATAAGGAAGAAAAAATATCAAACCTGCTTTAAAACCCAGCAACACAACTGTAGATGTACAACTTTACAACAGCAACACTGCTTTGACAAAAAAGCAAAACAGCAAGACTTATTTGACATCAAAACAAACATTTTAAAAATGCTGTCTAATCCCTCTCACTGTACTTTGATTTCATACACAAAAAGGTCTGTGCAGTGCTGCTTCAAGTCCAACACCTTTTGTGTTTTATTAGGAGATGCACAACTGTTCTTCTGTGGCTTTATAGGTAATATTTTCACTTACACAATTTAGCTAAATCATGTCTAATATATGCCACAATATTAACTTCCTATTATTGAATTGTTGTAAATAAATATCACATTTGCAACTGGTCAGTGTTCATAAAATGCTGGGAAATCACTTCATGTAGCCCTACAAGAGTGATTACTGATAAACTGTCTGAAAAAAAAGAAAGTCAGGTTATAGAGAAGAAAAAAATCACCCACTGACTTTCAAAGCTGCTACATAGTAACGACTTTCTACTTCGAGGACCTTGATAGAAATGTAGTGGAGTGAAAAGTACAATATTTGTCTTTCAAATGTAGTGAAGTTAAAGTCATAAGTTCCCAGAAAAAATAATACTCAAGTAAAGTACAGATACTCAAAAAGTGTACTTAAGTACAATACTCAAGTAAATGTACTTAGTTACTGTCCGCCTCTGGTCACATATAACATTATTACCGTCTCAACATTTCTTAACTCAGGGCTCAGAACAAGTGTGTACGCATCACTTTCGGATACAACACCAAAAGCAAAGAGCATTATGGGATTATGATGTATCATAAGAACAGGCCAATAAAGCCATATGTGAGCTGCCAATGTAAGGTAACCAGAAATGATTGCATGTTT